CATGGAGCGAGAAAAAGATCGTATAAGCTGTCCTGCCTTCATGTTTCGTGTCGTAAAAAACATGTTTCATCCCTCTTGAACTCTGTTGCTGGCCCGCCAATTCATTGAGGCCAACGATGGTGTCCCCGTCTCTCACTCTGGGCGCCCTCCGACCAACCGATCGACTCCGATCAACCGAAGATAGACGGGCAGACCGATAGACCGGAGGTGGAAACACCCAGACTTCGGCCGTTCCTTTGGACTTCTGCTTGACCTGTTGGAACAGGGGAATCCGTCCATAGATGAATCAATGGCACACACAATCAATGGCACACCTCATAGACACCTCATAGACTAATCACGTTCTTTTTGAGAAAAGGCCACACAGACAGTATGGAGTCCCCAAATTAACCGGGTAGTCCTGACAATTGAAGATTCTTTTCTTTCCAAATGGAAGACCTTTCCACAGCATGTCGACCTTGGGAGATGGTCTCATCTTCGACCTTACAGACCGTCGCGGAGTTTCCATGCTTCCCAGTAAGCGGATCACTGCGAGAGGGGGTCGGTGCTGCCGCATTCCCCACCGAACATGCCGATACTCTGAGACTCCACAGCGAGGGATGAGGGCCTTTGGAAGCTGTGGACTTTGTTAGAAGCCGGGAAGAGGACAACTTCAGCCCGTTGGTTGGAGAGCATTCCTATTCCAGTGGACATCCAGATGAAAAGAAGAACATGCCCACGTGATGCTTGATTTTGGATACAGAATCCTTACTTCAGGTATTGATCATACTTGATTCAAGACACTTTCAACCCGCTGGCCTTCCATACCTATGCAACACCATACGCATATGACCATAAATGAGTCAGTCACAGGTTGCATAGCTCCAACATATATCCACGCCCAAATCTCTTTGCGTGCTAGATGTGCCTCATTGTTTTGCATGGTGAGACTCAGTACAGGCAGGACTGACGCTAGCTTGCAGAAGCTTTTCCGCACAGTCTTGGGGCGAAGGAAGCCCAGATGCTGGTGCCTAGGCTTAGCCTCTCTTGATGGCCCTGGCAAGCTGGCAAGAATCGATCCAGAATTTTTACTGTAGGTGTAAAAGCACAGGTTTTCCTGCCCTTACTGGCAATGATTCAGCACCGCGTCCCGGTCCCTGTTTGCGCACCACATCGTGCGCCCCTGGACCCGACCGCTTCAAGATGCGAGTAGCTCTAATAGGGAGACCTCCCAGGCGTTCGGACCCCTTGAAAGAAGGAAACCAAGACCCAAACCATCCAAAGCCAGGGGGTTTCCCTATTGACGTACATACTCACTACTCACTACTCACTACTCACTACTCACTACTCACTTGTTTTGTTTTGTTGACTTTGCAGCCCCTTAGAGGTCCATGACCACATGCTAGGCACTTAGAGGTCCATGACCTTGTCTTTGTCTCCCACAACACCGCCGGTGCCTTTAGTCCACATCGATTGGAGAAAGATGCGGTGGCCAAGTTGAAGAGATCAACGAACGGAAGCATGGACCATGGGATCACTACCGATGAAGGCCATCGCAAGTATAGGATGGAGGCCATCGGCTCCGTAGGTTGGAGGCCATCGATGGGTTGGAAGCTGCCAGTACTGTTTAACCTGTTTCTCTGCTCTGAAGGTACCCCACGAGTTTTTTTGCAGCACCCCTGGTGATTGACATCGAATTGCTGAGGTAGCAAGGACGTCAGCTTGAAGTCACTTCGGTCTTTTTGGAACTGAGGTAAACAACATAAGCTCTAAGTGTATCAGTGTCCAGCAGAAAACAGCTGGAGTTCACCAGGTCTGGATTTTTTGGCGCCCAGCTTGGTCCAGAGCCACTTGGCTTTTTGGAGCGTCACAAGGCCTCTGCGTGAGGCTGTGAGATGTACAGTATCCGCTGAGAGAAAAGGAGGACTCGGCTGGACTCCGGCTGGGCGAAGGCCTCGGCATCCTAAACTTATACTCTTTTTTCCGAGACTCTTGTGGAAGATTATTTTGCAGAACAGATATTTCACATCTAATCTATATATTCATCTATTGGTACACATTGTTTCCATTTTGGCTAGTGACATCTTCCGGCAGAAAACAGATGTCACTGTGCCGCTTGCTCGCTCAAAATGGAGGAGTGAACGGCACTCTTCTTTGAGTAGATTGCAGGTCGCCGACGGTCCGCCTGAATTTCTTTCACTTCGAAACCAGGTTGGTTGACTAGAGGACATGAGATGTCAATTGAATATCTCTGGGTCTCTGGAAGAGAGAATGGGTCAGTTTTGGCGAGGTTGCCACCGAAAAAAGGGGTGAGATAGGAATGGTTTGGCTGGACTGGAGCAAAGAGTACAGAATACAGGAGAAATAGGGATAGACATGGAGTTTAAGTTCAATGGGCCATGAAATAGCTTGAGCAGTTGCTTTGCTAATCCAAACCAAACCAGCCCTATCAAAACTGTTTGGTCTGAAGGGGAGAACATGTGGCAAGTTGCTGGCAAGGTCTTGGTTATCTTGGTTTCAGCCCACGCATTTATCAGTTGTGGCCAGTCTGGGCCAGTCTTGGGTCGTCTGTTTGCAGTGAGCCTCAGATATGACCCTCGGTTCTTGGAGAGGCCAAGCCTCAAATCTTCTAAAGAAGAAATCTGAATCCGAGGTGCAACTTTTGGATTGGGTGCTAAGTGAGGAAACTATTTATTGGCTGCTACTTGGGAAGGGCCAGTCACAAGATAGAATGGACCAGGACTTTTGATAGAAACAAGCTTGGGTTCAAAGAGGAATGGCAATCCTCTCAGTTTTGTTATCAATATCTCTGGGGTAACCTGCGACACTGTCGGTGTGATCTGTAATTTTGGGCTGCTTTTGGGCTCCAAGGCCGGTTGCGGTTGAGGGAGAGCATGTTGGAGGCTTATTGGTATTTCAATCGCATCCAAAGTGTTAAGCAAGTGGTGAGTTTTTCCATAGATGGCCGTTTACTGCTGGTTGGTTGATGAATGGTTAAAGGGGATACCCAAGTCGTAGTGTTTGTTCTGACACAAAGAGCGATACAGTCACCCATATTTAGTTTAGACAAGCAAGATACTTTCGAACACCATCATAGACACCAAAGAAGCGCAAAGATCATTTTTGACATATTAGCTTCGATTATGGTTTACTCTATGACGATGATCCTTTTCGTTGAAGAGCATTTCTGGTCAGGTAAAATCACTCAAAGGGTTCTCGAGCTGGAGCGGTTCGAATGTTGGTACACCCCCCAAGCCCAACAATTTCGCCCTTCCTGGGTCGCTGTGCCTTGCCCTGGCCCCCTTGTCCATGGCTAGCCATGGCTTTGCTGAACGCTAGAGCTCGCGTGGCTTGGTCATGAGGGAGTTTGAAACTGATGACATCAAGTGATATAGATGGTTTGGACATGCGAGAGGGCCAAATCGTGTCCACAGAACCCGAGAGTTCTAGCCACATATTTGGATGACATTTTGGTCTTGCGATCTCGGTTTTCCTAGCTGAGGAGATGCGGAGATCCATTGACCTGAGATGCATGTAAACCCATCCTAACCTTCACCGGACTACTGGCATACAGCACTTTTCACGGCACCTGAATCCCGAATCATGTTTTGGGTAGAGTCCCTCTTTTGCTTTTAATTCTCCTTCATACCTTGGGGTGCAGACCATGTTCCGTGCCTTGGTGCAGACCTTGTGGGGCCTGGAGTCTCTTTCTATGGAAGGCTTTGCAGAGATTGACCCCTCAAGAAATTCCCGACCTCTTTGGTGACCCTGGTGACCCTGCCTCAAATGAAGATGTTACATCATTCCCTATGTATCAGCTTCGCGTTCACTGCTCAATTGCTGTTTCTTCCATCAGCGGAACGGCCACGTCACACGAGGACGCCCACGCGACGCACGCGAAGACGGGGCGCCGTGGACACGGACTGACCCCGCTGAGGTCCAAGACGGCGATGGCGTCCAAGGATCCAGTGACTGGGCGAGGACGAACGCGGAACGAACGACGTGGGAACGACGGTGCGGCAAAAGGTGGGGAAATACGCACACACAGCGTGCATGCGCTTTTTTGTTGGGGTGAGTAGAAGAGGACAGACAGATAGACTGTAGGATAGACACATATGTTCTCCATTTCCTTTAGGAGGGAAGGCGAGCACATCTCTTTTTTTCTTGCCAAACATTGCCGTTAGTGCACATCAAACCTGTGTCAACCTGAACCCTTCTTCGGAGTATTCAGTTCCACACAAAATAGATTCACCCCGAGATCGTGCTTTTAACGGACGCCATAACTTTCTGATGTATTTCAATACTAGATTATGGTCCACCAAAGCTATACTGGCATTCCTGTACAAATTTGAACTCAAACAGTCAAACAGTAGAGCCACTTTATATAATTGGGGTCTGCTGGCTACCTGGATTATCTGCAAATTGGTTTGGTCGCCACCCTGCAAGATCAGGGTGAGGAATCATTCGCGGGCTGTTGTTCATTTTTAATGGCGACATCCGTTGACAGCAAAACAGATGCACATTATCTGCACTGCTCGGAGAAAAGCGCATCGAAGTGCTAAAGAATTGAAGTGAAAAGCGCACATCGACCAATCTGCTCATCTTCGCCATCGAGGTCTTAACATCCAACGAGGTCTTAACATCCAACGAGGTCGCAGCGCCAAAAACACATGGTCTAAAAGCACGAAAAGGCACCACGCAATTGGTTGGGCCCAGACCTGCTGGGCCCGCATGCACCGGTTTCTGCTGGCACTAAGGAGGCTTTTGAGGTGCAACATCAATTCCATTTCAGGTGGCTCGGCGCGAACGCCCGCGGCAGTGGCCAGCAGTGGCGGTGGCGGTGGCAGTTTTGGGCGAGCAAGTAAAGGTGGCTGGTGGTGAGACTGTCTGGTGAGACTGCCAGTCCAAGCCATGAGTCAGTGTTTCAACACGCCTTCTGACTGGATAGGCAGGTGTTGTCAAGGAAGCATCAGATCAACCGACAGGTACATGTTCTTTTGATCCAGGAGCCTTCCTAGTAGTAAGGCCAGGAGCCCCTAGTAGCGTTCTTGCTCCTAGTAGCGATGCCAGGAGCCCCTACTGGCCATTTTGCTTGGCATCATTCTTAGGACATGATTCGGCAACTTGTGCACTGTTGGTGCTGGAGCAGGTTTGCCTTCCACGCAGTCACTGGACATGATTTTGCGAACATTTGTGTGGCTTTTCCAAACATTCACCTGGAGGGGCTGCATCATCGAGCAAGGCTTGAATATAGAGGCTTTATGCCATGGATTCTGGTGGATCTTCATGGGATGAGCCCCACTTTCCATCCTTCTGGAAATGTGTGCCGATGTGCCACGGCGAGAGCTTCTCACTTCTTGCGCTGCTCACTTCTCTGGCGCCGATCCCAGGTATGATCGAAGGCGCGACAAGAGAGGGTTCAACGATGTGCAGCAAGCGAAGTGGTGGTTGCATGCGAACCACCAGCGGTTGGGAAGAGTTTCTGGAGGACGGTATGTTATATTTATATAGAGTTTGTTATGGTAGCACGTTCTAGCATATTCTGGCTTTGATCGTTTCAAAACACGCTACCCTTCAAAAGATAGCACTGGTCGATCCAGGCGTTCTATTTTCACCCACAAGTCAATCGTTCGGTGCATAACATCGTGGAGTTTCTTTCATTTGAAAGATCTTTTCATTCACCTTCCGGTCGACTCAAAATTCAGTCCATAACCGTAGATCTTGGTCTCGACCACCAGTTCCCACTCGAGGAGAGAAAAAAAGGTGGGAGGCGCCAGTTCTGAAGCAAGCTCTCGGATTCGGGTAAGACACCATCTTCCTCCCAAAATGAACATGGTCCTTCCTTCTCCTTCTGAAATCCGAAGCGACTGGCAACATCCATCGTGGACACCATCTTCATTGTCTACGAGTTGACTGATCATGCTCTAATTAAGAGTCGACTTTCTTTTTGCCACGCCGAAAGAGGGTATTCAAAGTCTTCATGCGATTTCTTGTGGGATGCAGAGATTCATCGTTGCATATCATTGCCTTCCAAGATGAACGAAGACGAGAATCCACCGTTTTTGGTCCAGTCCTCCTCCTCCTCCTCCTTCTCCTCCTACTGTTCTTCTCTTTGGGCCCCAGCAGGTAACCATTCTGAGATTCAGATTCTGTTCATTTTTGGAATGTGAACTACGAGGCCTCCTAGCCAATGGTTGACTATGAAGAACTCCTCTCTGTCCAAGTTGCACTTACAGTAGATCAACTCTGTTGGACATATTTGCCTTTGCCACAAAGTCACCTAAGTTGTAGGGATTTGAACAGTTTGTTGTGTGCAACAACCTCAGTTGTTGGGTGCTCCAAGAGCTATCTTCAATCAGAGCTATATATCTCCGGGGTGAAACCTTGGTTGTTGGAGTTCAGAAGGAATCACCAGGACTATGGGTCCTGACTGGGTTTGTCAACTCAAACGCGTCGACTCGTGTCCAGTAGAGTTGAGTACTTCGACTTATAGCGACGAAGCACGCATAACCCCGAAGCATCCCCCGGTTTCTCAAACAGGTCGGTCTGGGAACGTTTTTCCCTTCGCCCTTTTTCAGGTCAACGGCTTCTAGAATCTAGAAGATCACCTTGCTTAAGATCTGGCGTTCTTTGCTTGGGATGCATGCGTAGGCCATGCGTAGGCCATGCGTAGGCCCAAAGCTCACTCCGGACCTCGCGGCCATGGCTTTCGTTTTGGTTTCGCAGCGTGGTGCTGCGATTTCCTGCAGTATCATTCCAATCTAATAGCAATGGCCTCCAACCTTGGGAGGTTATCCTGCTTCTCGAACGCAGTGAGCTGCTTGAACTTCACTGGCGATGGGCAGTGCCGAGCTGGACGTGACGTGACAGACGACCCCGCTGGGCTGAAGAGATCCCGAGGTGAAGGGATCCGCGAGATGGATCGACGGTTGATCAATAGAACCTTTGTCTCCAGAATGGTTTAGCATCTCCATAATGGGGTTTCTGATTCATCAACAGTCTACACTAAGGAGCCGTTCTTTTCATTTCTTCTCGGCGAGGAGTTTTCTTGTCCATTTTGATGGATTTAAGCCTAGCTGCTGGAAGAACACCTTGATGCTGGGGAACCTGAACAAAACATGTCACAGGCATCCTGCAATTCGTCGAGTTATCAACATGGTTTTGCTGGATGTTTTGTTGGCACGTGGCCAGCTGGATGTTCCAGCATCCAATGTAGTCATCGTGGGTGCTGCTGGTCTTTCAAAGAGGCCTGTACAGACCCGACTTATTGTGGCAGCAACATTTCATCTCAAAGGTTGAATGATTGTCTTGCACTTGCACTTTATCAGGTCCCACCATCCCTTCCGAAGTGGCTAAGGTGGACCATAAAACTGCCTGATGCTCGCGGTTTTCACAGTTGTTCACATCCGCCCCATATGTTCCCGACATGTCATACCGTGAAAACAAGCCAAAGAAGCCTCCTGGCCATCTGGCAATTCTCCGGGTCGAACCAGTCGGGTTTTTCAGGTACTTGGTCTCCGGCACGGGGTCGGGTGATATCAAGGCATGTGGAGAGGGGAGGAGGATGGATGGATGGATGGATGGATGGATGGATGGATGGATGGATGGATGGTTGGTTGGTTGGTTGGTTGGTTGGTTGATGGATGTATGCATGTTCCGTGTTCCCTCTCATCCATTGCATGATGGATGGATGCAGCGGATGATGGCTTTTTGTGGATCTGCATCATCCACTGCAGTGAAGTCATCCCCAGCTTCACCGGAGCACAGAGCAACTTGGGGCCAGCTATGGGCCCGTCAAGAGTTTCGTGATTCCCGGGCCTAGCGGCCTAGCAGGTGGAAGCTCGAGAGTTGTAGGCAACAAGCAGATTTGGTGCCGTGAAAGCTTGACTACTTCTAGGTGTCAAAGAATTTGTGCCGGATGAAGCACTTGCTTAATTCCTGAATGCTATTTTAAGCAGCATCAGTCAGAGTAGGACCGAGTAAAAGGGAGGGTGATCCAGCCAATTTCCTAGGTAGCCATTCTTGGATCTCAAAGTGGAGTGGAAATGGAACGTTGCGTAGCTTTTCAGACTCCGGCTTCAATAGGGCTTTCTCACGTTATCTCCAGTTTGGCAAACATGGGAAGATCCTTCTGAGAGGCCCCCAATCCTCGCCACCGTAGATGAAAACAACCTCCTCCGCCACCGCACGTGGCGCACGTGGTGCACGTGGCATTTGCTGCGCGGTGTTCCAGGTGTGGGACAGCACCACCTGGGCTGAAGCTGCCAAGCTGAAGAGTGGCCGTCGGGCCGAACCGAAGGCGCGGAAGCAGCGACGAGGTCCCGGTGCTCGACGATCGGCCCTTCGGGGTGGATGGGTGGACCGACCTGGAGCGAGGGAAGCAGGCCGAAGCAAATGGTTCCATGTGAAGTACAACAGGAACCACCCTGTTCATCAGTGTGAATGGCACCCTGTTGGGTTTATATCCATGGATTATACCTGTGGTATCCAACAGGGTGCCATTCTTGCCCCACGAGAGCCCTTTTTGCGCTGGGACGGGGCGGGCCAGGACTCGAAGGGGACTCGACTGAATGGGCCAGGTTGGTTCAGGCGTGGAAGCTCAAGAACCAACAGCATTTGATCTTCCAGCCACTTCCACGGGTGGTTGAACGTTGTAATGACGCACATCACACAAGATCATCGTTTATACTACAGTAGCTTTGTGTTTTCTACGATGACCCGCATGTGGCAAATGGGTGAATCCGTAGCCTTCCAAACCAAGTTTGGTCAAGAACAGCTAACTCCAATCCGTGGGAACACTGGACCTTTTTGATCTATCTCCTCTTGAAGAACTATGAGCTGTGAGATGCCCCCAGAGGAGCGAACCTCCACCGCTTTCCACCGGACAGGAAGTGGCGATTAGTCCTTCCCAGCGCTGGGTGGTGGTCTGCTATAGCCACTTGGGCGTGAGATGGCGTGAGACCACAGAGACATTCACAAAGCCGTGCTTTTTCCCACAGAACAATGAACATGAATAGACTTCCATCCGACTTGGTCAACCTTTGAGGGTGACTTGGAGCTGGCTGTCATGACCCAAACCCCCGCCTGGTCGGTGGTCGGGGACTTCCCAGGTCGGGGACGTCCCCCGATGGGGTGGCTTTGCCCGGTGCGAAACGATGGGGAAAGCACATCTCGGAGTCCCAGGAAGAAGCAGCCCCAAACGTATGGGGCTCCAAGGGTAGGCAGGAAGGGTTGCTGTGGGTTTACCAGACAAGTGTCCCTGGAAGAAGGATGATGGGAGGCAACTATTAAAGAGAAGAGGTTGTCTTTGTTCAGTGAGGTTTAGTTTCTTATGAGGGTTTTGGCAGACCTAGCTGCAACATGCTGCAACTAAATGGTGCAACTGTTTCTCCATGGGATCGGTTTGTTGTTCATGGCGCTAAGCTTGACCTTTGATCTCTACCAAAAGAATTCACCCCCCAGGAGGCGCTATGTGTTCCTTCACTTCTCACTCGCTTTTTTCTTTCGCTAAAAGCTGCTTCTTCCTGTCTCCTTCCACACGTTCCCACCGTTGTGGCCACCTGATTTTCTTACCCCAGGTGCCATGCTGCAGATCTTCCAGTGTGGCGCCCCCTGGAAGTTGGTCCAGTCCCGCCCCGTCGAGGGGCCCAAGGACAAGGACGGGCGGTGTTGGCGGCTCGGTGGCGGCTCGGACGGCAGGGGCAGTGACCTGCTGGTGCTTCCCAGGTTTCTATGGTAAAAAGACACAGTATGGTGACTGGAGAGTCACTTCGTTGGACACCACGGAATCGACATTATCACCAGCCGGACGGGCTGGACGCTTAGAAGCTCCCAGGTAGTTGGAAGCTTTGGAGGCCCAGCCACCGAGGTGGTTTGTCCCAGCAGTTGAAGGTTTCGGTTCCTGTTTTTTTTCCAGCAGGCTTCAAGATGGTTTAAGGGATTTGGCTGTTTTTCACTACTAAGGCAATCAAAGGTCCCAAAGAATCACAACCCTGAACCAGATGGGTGTGTATTGAAATGGTGAGACCTCCCCAAAACCCTTTGGAATAAGGGAAATAGACCCAAAGCCATCCAAAAACCCTTGGTCGGGGGTTCTCCCTGTTCCTTTGTGAAGTGCTTCCAATCGGTTCTGGGAAAAGGAGCCCGGTCATGGCGCTTTCGCGGAGCCGAATCCGTCGGGCCAGGAGCCGGAATGGTGCTGTGTGGCCTTCTCTCCGATGTTGGAAGTGGACCACCCGCATGGACAGGCTGGCCAGGAGACCCGCGAAACAACTTGACCGAGACACGGCGGGACCTGTGTGCTGCGAGGGCGATCGCACGAGAGGATGGTTACCACCCGCTTCTTTCGGGGTGAACAGTCGCAGCGAGAGGATGGCCCCCCCCCCAAAAAGCCCGGCAGCCTGCGAGGACAATCATTTGGCGGCCTTTAGCAACTGTCACATCTCGCTGATGGACTACTCGGGTGGTTGGTCCGAGGCGCTCGGGAGGGTGGACTGGACAGCGGTTTCCGAAGGCTTCGGAAGGGTGGAATGGCGGTCTTGATTTTTACCCACGATTTTCATGAAGAAAAGAACAACACATGATTTGTCTCACAGCTTGGTTCACATGTCTGCAAAAAAAGAAACAACCTTGGTTCACACATGGAACCACACATGGGAACAGTGCCCATGTTCTTCGATCTTTCGCCCCAAGCAGTCCATCATTGGTGCAGGACGTGCCGCAGAGGACTCGATCGCTCATGGGAACCTCCTGGCCATCCAGCCTCTCCTACACGGGTGATGGCTATTTCATCATTTGTGCCTGGGCGTCAAATCGTCAGATGGAATGGATGGACAGTCGGATGGAGGACAGTCCTATGGGGAACAAGGACAGCAGTTTCCATGCTGAAACCGTGGAAGAAGGACGGACAGATACGAAGAGCATCGAAAAGCAGCAGTTTCCATGTTGACTGACGCTTCACTCAAATGAAGGTCCCAAGTGTTAAAAGATGTTAAAAGCATGGCTGATCTCGTATTTCAGACGGAGGTCTCTCTTTTGCTACGTCCCCACTCGCCAAGCTTCACTTTCCCAGCTCTGCGAACGCGACCGCTGCGTCGAACCATGAACACGGGCGAACTGGTTCCATGTCATTGAGCCCAGTCGACCAACCCCAATCCTTGATGGATGACAAGAGTGAGACGTGGATCAGGGTTCCCACAAGAGACTGGCAAAAGAATGCGAAACACCATAGGTCCACTAACATCCACCCACATCTCCTGGTTTTCTTCAACCTTCGAAGGAATCTTTTTGTCGATCGAAGCCCACAGGTGGCTTCTCAAATGGACAGATGCAGATTTGGAACGCCTTCTCCCTCTCCTTGGTGTGGGGGCCTGGAGAGACGGAGCAAAGGACGGAGAACATGACACCATCCATGTTTAGAAGAGGTGGACCACTTTCCTGTGATGGATCTGAACGCATGGAAACCATCCAGTCATCTTTTCTTACGTGAAGCAACGCTCATCTGTCACCTTCCCTGTTGGGTGAGGCATGGGAAATCATCCCGTTTCACAAAAAACCTGGGCCTCTCATAAGGACGGCGCTTCTCTGACCTTGCTGGTGAGACTGCTAGTGTGGAAACTGACACACACACACACATTGAAGTTACTTAATTATCGATAGATACTCCAAGCTAATTCGAACATGTTCCATTCTGTTCAGATGGTGGGTCAAGCCTGCAGATTTTGATATTTCATCCACGCAAAACCGTTTGTTACGACCTTGACCAAACTTGGCCATCAACCTCGCCTCTACCACCTCAACTAACCGAGATATCAATACATTGCGTACGTGTTCCTACGCAACGACACCATCTTTTGGAACCAACGAAAAAGCACCCATTTTTTGGATCCTTTGGGGTGAACGACCCTTTCGCGCTTTCCCCGTTCCGGGCGGCTCCGTGGGGCGCGAACGCCGTTCGCGCCGAGGAGAAGACCTTGAACGGCCACGAGGCCGCCGTGACGTCCATCGCCGCCTCCCCGCCGCAGTCGCCCTACGACCCTCGCTTGGTCTCCTGCAGCAAGGCGGGGGACCGGCCGCGCGACCGGCCGCGCGACCGCGGAGGCAACGAGGGTCCGGGGATGAAGATGGATGGTGCAAGATGGTCCAAGGAAGAAGGGTTGGTCCATGATGGTCATGTGTTCCTTGTTTTTGCAAGAGCCTGTCAGTAGATGGAAAGGGTCATGGAAGGATGGATAAGGATGGCCATGGTTTTGAAGTTGGCAAAGTGACCAAACCACCTGCCAAACCACATCGAACCACCAAGTCCTTTGGATTTAGGAACTGCTTGCCTTTTGAACTCGCTTTTGTGGGGGTTGAGCCCCCCGAAAGCGGGGGGGGTGGGGTCATGACCCCGAAGCTGCATTTGTTACAGTACTCAGCTGATACAGTCTCTTGATAGGGGGTGGCCGCAGCCCATTACCAGTCGCAATCGGTAAAAGATTATCGCGAGAAAGGCCTTTACTGACCATCCTCATCCACTGGGGCCTGGTAATGGGAGATACCCAACCTCTTGATTAATAACCCCCTCCATTTGGATGCCCCGATGGATTCGATGGTCTTAGTGTTTCTTGGAGTCCTTGTGCAGTAATTTACTTGAACAGGTTGGGGAGTCACTCTTCTTAGGCACCTCCCGTGCCCATGCCATTCGCCCTCTGTCGCATTCGTAGTTTGCTTGTACATTTCATTCGTAGATGTTTTCCGTAGTTGACGTGCAGTGTCACCCCCTGTTCAATCCCACCTTCACCCCTCGGAATACCCCTCCATTTGGATTGTAACACCTCTTCAGGCCGGGGGGGATTGTTAATCACGAGTCTACATTACTCGACCAGTGGGAGAACAGATGAGGGTGACCTCAGCTTTGGTGTGGAAATTCCCTCAGTGTTTTCACAGATGGAAGTTCTGGACCAGAAGTCGTTATCTCGTTCGGACATTCCCAGCTTTTGATATGCTTTTTTTTCCGTATGTTCTTTGTGTGCAATCAATTTGGATGGAAATGGCCGGCCATCAGAAGGGTTGCACAGTGCAAGATCCATAAACCATCGCGGATCGGATCGGGTGGTTGGACCGGTTAGACCGGTTGGACGCATTTTCGCAGATGATGATTCTCCCGTTGTTCAGCAGGTGCGTCTCCTCTCCTGCTGGGTAACATGTTTCATTTTTTGACTGGCTACTCCAAGTCCCTGTTCTTTGAACAACGTCCAAGCTACTCGTCAGGATCAGTGCCTACGCGTCTGGCACGTCAACACCTGGCTCTTAGAGCAGCACGTGCATGAGCTGTGGGGGCTCCCGTCTGCAGCGAAAGGCGCCAGGTCTTGTAGAGAATAAAGAACAGCAGAGAGTCTGAGACTGAAGAAAAGAGTTCCTTTGTGGGGAGAAAAAGATAAGCCAGGCGTGGTGGAGATGCCAAGTTCCAGGTTCAAATTAAGGTGAGAACACCCGTTTCAGTGTTCATTGAGCTGAGCTGATGAGTTCAACAGAGCCCCAGTCATCTTTGAGATTTCTTTGCCCAGAATCAGTTTCTACGGCACAATTAGGCTTTGTGTCAAACACACCGACCAGTTGTTGCTTCGGTCTCTTCACGGCTTCTTGAACATTAAGAAGCCATCTGTGGGATCATCTGCCCTTGCACATCTCCAAGTGCGTTTTGTTTTTTCCTCAATCATTTCAACAAAGAACTTCAAGATGAACACATGTATATACAATGCCTATAGTAACTATGACAATAACTGTATTATTTAACCATGTTTGGAGAAGTGACAGTTCAACTTGCTCATCGTTCTTTCCGCTCGGCCGAGACCTGACCCACTCGGCTCCACTGAGACGTGTCGATCGATTTGAGGCGCTGCGACCGAGGGGGCTTGCGCTGTTGCAACTTCTCTGCCACGGGCACCTGGTTCCTCGGTCCGTTTTCAAACGCCGGCGACCGGGGTGGATGGGCGGCGACGACCTGCGGCGACCCGGTGCGTTTGGGGATTCCGTCGAACGCGGAGGCAGACAGCGGAGGCTGCCTTTGTTGGAAAGGAAGAGGTGGTCCTTGATGAGCTTGTGTCCTTTCCCGTTCCACTGGGCTTTCCTGTTCCAGTGAGCTATGAAAAGAACTTGGGACTTGGAAAACGGAAGACGATTTCAAGAGATCGGGAGTGGAGCTGTTGAACATATTAAGACCTTGTGGGCAGAGCTGCGAAGTGAAGCTGTTGAACAGGGTTCACAGGCGATATGATGTATCTGTATATGGACATATTTTTGGTTCGCTGAAATTTGTCAAGTCCCATTCCTGAGATCTCAAAGGTTCACCCTCGGTTTTTTTCAAGCTGGTGCTCACGGCAACCAACGTAGCCGTAGCTTCTGTTTGGATTCATTCACTTGAACTCATGTTTGTGTGAATGTGGCCATAGAAGATACCTTGTTGAGTATGACAGTGGCAGAGCATGGGAGCCTGATCAGGCCAGCCAGACCAAGGAGTTTACTGGGTCCCACCCTGGTAGCGTTCAGGGACGAAGGATCGGTGACTAGGAAATCAACGATGTTGGAGAAGCGATGCCCTTTGCTCCTAGGAGCGTCCTTGCTCCTAGTACTAAGGCCAGGAGCCCTAGTAGCTTCTTGTTCCTAGTAGCGATGCCCTTTGCTCCTAGCACCAATCAAGAAATGGAAGCGATTCGGATGGTCCATACCAGGCATCACAGGACTTGTGTGAATTGTTTGTTTGAGAGCCGTACTATAGGGGTCATATTTTTTCCATTCTCCACAGGATCTTCTGTAAAAAGACATCCCGTCCTAGAGAAGCTCCAGTTGTTCCTGCCCTCGAACATGAGCAGTCGAAGGTGTGGCACGCTCCCTATCCCTCCCTTGGTTGTTGGTTTTGTTTAACAAAACTACGGGGCCCACCAGCCCTCCAGATCGAAGCCCACCCACCCTGCCTGGGCGAACCTGGCGCCGAGGCTGGTGGCCGTGGGCTCGGAGTTGGTCGTCTGGCGCGTTTGCGTGTCAGCCAGGCGGGGGGTCGGTCCGTCCTGCGGAGATTGCAGCGGGGGGTCGGTGCAGAAGGCGACGGAAGAGACCAAGCTCCATGTTCCATGCCAAGCAGATGGTGGTTTTCCACTTCCATGTGGGTTTCGGAGTATTTTCTGGCTTGGAGTGCAGGGCTTCGAGAGGATCAATGCTTTCTGGTGGGGTCGGATTGGCAAGAGTTCAACCTGAACGGATCCTCAACTCATGATGATGTTCTGAAGGGTGTTATTTTAGTCTGCAGTGGGCCGACAGTGGGCTGTAGTTTCCAACCTACGCCAACTGAAGAGCGAAGTGCTACACCCCCAGCCTAAGATTCACCAAAGTCACCGATCTCTCATTGGTGAACCTGGGTGACGTGCTGAACCAAGACGATACCTCATGAACATCTGAATCTGCATGTGCACCTGGATGCACGCTACCACAATTCCATCCCCACCTTTCCTGTGGCTTTGCGATCTGCTTCTCCAAGCACACCTGCTCTCCGAGCAGCTTCACCAAGATCAGCTGCAGGACCAAGAAGTTTGACCTGCAACTCCACCAACGCCTTGAGGTGCTTTCGCCCTTGGGCTGGGAGATCGCGCCGGGTTTTGATCGCGGCGATGGATCAGCGAAAACACCGGGCCTTGAGAAAAGCCACCCCCCCAGAAAGTTCAATTTCAAAGTGGTACATGCGCCAGTGTTGGGTGTTCTGGGATTCTTTTTGGTGGCATTCTGACACCACCCTTCAACTGCTAGGTGCAGCTCCTGGCAGCTCGCCGGCCGCCGTTGAGCGTCCTAGAAACCACCAGTTGTGGATCTCAACATCCTCCAAAAAGCGAAGGAACCATAGGTGCCTTTTTTGGAAGGAACTCCTGTGGCAACCAGTGGGCCGTCGGGGTGTCATTGTCATATGTGTCTAAAGAAAAGTAGTTTTTTGTTACTAGTAGCGTCCTTGTTCCTAGTAGTAAGGCCAGGAACCCTTCGTAGCGTCCTTGCTCCTAGTAGCGATGCCAGGAGCCCCTAGGTGTTTTTGGGAGTGTGAAGTATTCTTCACGCTGATTGAAGAAACCCACCTCTACTGTACATGTCGAAGACAGATGGGCTTGTTCCTACACACGTCAGGAGACAGGCCTCCATACAACTGTAGTCACTGTAGTCTTGACCAACATCGCAGTGTTGGCTACTCGAAAATCACTCTAACCGGAGTGACCCCTATTTTGGACTAGCAACCTGCTTCGGACCCCCTCCCAAACTGGTGTCAGTGGTAGCCCCAACTCCTTCAAGCATCCCCTACAGACGGGTAGTAGGGATTCAACTCGCTCAAAGTGACCATCTCCGTTCTTTTGGGGCCCAGGATGCCCCAGGGGTGGCGTTCTTTTCGTGCTAGGAAGGCTCAAACACTCGCTGTCCTACGCAGTCCGGCCACGCGGACGTCCCCCACGCTGTCCCCACTCCCTTTGACTGCCAGGCAGTCTGTGGCTCAGAGTCCATCCGGACGGCCACCTTTAGCTGGGAACGCCCAGTGGATGGGCGATGGGGGCTGTGGTTCGGTGGATGGGTGGAAGAAGCGTTGAAGACACGGGTTTGGTTCGTTCTGAAGAAGTGGATCCGTGCTCATGATGAGAGGATAGCAGCTTGCAGGTGTCGCACTTGGGAAGACCAGACCTTGGCACTTGGGACAAAAATGCTCCCCTCAAACCGTGTTGATAGATGTCGTTCTCCGGTGCTTGTGCAGCAGAAGCCTTTGATTCAATGCGCCTCTCTCTCTCTGATGTATATGAATGATCAATCACATCTATTTGGTCGTTACCAAAGTAAGTCGTCTGCCGTGTGCGCATGTGCGTTATTTGTTTGTCCAACGTCAGTACCCACTTTTGTGAATGAGATAGGCCCCCGACATAAACGAGATCGCTTGGCTGACGACAACGACTTCTACTGATCTGCTATGATCTGCTTATTTAGAAGTATACATAGTGCACCAAGACCTCCTGCCACAGTATTCCAAAACGAGATAGGGCCCTCCAAAAAAATCAGATAGCGCATCTGAGCTATATAATATAGTCATACCAAAATATACCAAATACAATCCATTCTTCCGCCGCTCTTTGATGGACTCCGACATCCTGGTGTGACTCCGACATCGGCACGAAGCGTCACACGCTGGAGCGCCTGAGCGCACGAAGCGTCTTCCGCCGGGGGTCTGCCGGTGGCGATGTCCAGCGTCTGGGTGGCTCCGATTTTTGGGGCGACTTTCCGGTCGCATGGCAGGTAGCCAGTCTGACGTGATCGCAGTGGGATCCCATGATGGGATTTTGGGGCTCTGGCGCAAGTAGCTTGGAGATCGAACTTGGAGGGATGGAACTTGGAGGAGAGAGCGCTGAAAGAGGTGTCAAACTGGGGTCCAAACCGGCATAGCGGTGTGGCGTTTTCGGGTTTTCCTGATCCCTTGGAGTCAAACTGGGGTTCTCAGCTCTCCAAATTCGGTCATCCTGTGTGTCTCCATGGTCCACAGGATGGACTCTTTGATGTTTTGAAGTCCACAACCCGAAGTAACTTTTGAGTGAATTCAGAATGCTCAGCCCGAATGCGCCCGAATGCGCCCATCAATTCCCGGGTTTTCAGGGGCACCTAACAGGCGAAGGTCCTGAGAGAAAAGGTGGCTGTACAAGTTTGAACTGCGGCTGGATGAGTTGGACTTGGGCTGTCACCCCCCCAAGGACCCTCACGACTCACAGAACCAATTGAATACCGGCTCGCTCTAAGAGCCGTTCTCCCTTTTTTTCTTCTTCCTGACCAGCATGGAAGGCAATTCAAAACGCGAAGAAACACAACAACGAACCATGTAGTTTGGGGTTCTTGATTTCTTGATGTTCCCCTACTGCAATCACTCTGAATCACACTTTGCAGAAGGGATTGGGAGCGGTTTGGCAGCCTCTATATTTGTTCCATTAGGACAAATCATCCGAACTGTGCTTTTGTTTTGTTTGTCTTGGTAATGCTTTAACTACAGCTTCTATCTCCCCGCACTGGGTGCTCGACATGTTTCGCGCTCTCCGCTCACCGATTCCGTCACCCTTCCGCCTGGGCACGCCTTCCGCCTGGGCCATGTCCGTCGTGAGGCACCAGGGTTTACCACCTTTGCCGGAGCAGCTGCCGGCTCCGAGCGACCGGACGGCCGCCAGCGACGGCGCGGCGCGCGCGTCAGGCGCGCGGGCGTGGCGCGCGCGCACCGTGGCGCGGACGTGGAGTTCAAAAAGAGTGGACTCCAGGTGTAGCGTGAACACGTTTGTTTCTGATGGCTGTGAGTCAACAATCACCCCCCCCCAGCAAATCAGGGTATATTTGACATCCCATAGAATTGGAACTGATTCCTCAAAAACAGACGTCAGACGCCCCCGACCGGACCCACATGGACCGGACCCAGATCCAGATCCAAGCAATGTCTGACTGCCAGGGGCACAGGCCGAGAGCACGACGCCCATGTCGTTGGGGCACCCAGAACGACGCGGGATCGAGGCCCGGCGCGAACTTCAGAGCGAAGTTCAGGCCAAACTCGGTCAGCAGGATACAGCTGGATATTAAATATGGGGAGTGTCAGAATAGGTGCATGGGATTGAGGGGCTGGTGGTAGTTTCTAGATTTTAGAGTATGATCCTATTCTGGCAGTCATACTGTCTGGACAACTCTGGACAAATCTTGCACCACTTGATGCAGTGCATTCTGCAACAAGTCGATTGCAGAAGAGACATGGTTGAGATTTCAGTCCAAGAATCTCTATTTTGGACTTGCTACATGAATGATGTAGTCCCTTTTCTGACCAAGCCTACCAGGAAAAGGGAAGGAGCTTTTACTGTTTCAACATGTGCACAAAGCGGTGCAGGGTTTTGGCCTTCTTCCATATGGATGGGGAACTACGAACTCGTCATTGAAGCTGGTGATGTGCCTTTCTCTGCTCATCTCTTTATTGGGGTTGGAAGCCTTTCGGTCAAGATTTGTGCTAGCCAAAATTGAAGATTTTCAGAAATGCCATCATGATGCAATTTTGAATACTGTATTTCTAGAGATTCGTACATTTCTTGACACCCTTCACCACTTAGTCACTTAGTCATGTCGGAGACTTCTTTCACATCTCATATTCACCACTGCTTCCTACCACACCACAACCCAGGGCATTCGACAAAAAGTCGTACACCCCACCGCACTCGCTTCCAGGAAGTTGAGCCGTCCACTGCAGCGCATCACACCTCAGGCTGCGAACACGCCACGAACCAAGGAACAGTCCAACGGAACAGACACCCCAGACACTCAAATGGTCATCAAATGGGGCATATACTTACTGTAACCATTCCTTGGGGTGGTTGGGTCTTAAGCACCAGGGCCTTGAGGTGCTTGTTTCAAGGGGTCAATTGATCGTCTAATCCCAGTGAGTGGTCCATAGCCGAGGCCCAAACCTGGAACCCCCACACCCTGGATTCCTTGCCGCCCCTGAAGTGATGATGAAGCCGAAATGAGTATTGCAGTGGCAGACTTCGGGGATGCATCCCCTGTCCTTGCACAACACTGGTTGAACCAGGGGTGTTTTTGCATGTGTGAGCATTGGTCAACTTGATGTTGAGGGATCAAATAGGATCATTGGGATCACCGTGGGTCCAAGAACCCCCACCGAAATGCGATTCTTCAAAGCCTTTGACCGGTGCGTCGTGCGTCTCGACTTCCGTGACCCGCCCCGGTGCGCAGCGTCAGCGCCTCCGTTGGGCGGACCCGTAGGCATCAATTGGGAAGTGGAGTTCGCACCTGGTTTGTAAAGGAACATAGCATTCCCCAAAAGCCACCAGGCAGTAAGTTGGCGTCGCCACCGGAAGACTGTGAAAGTTGGTTGGTTTTGCTTGTGGCCCGGGGTCGAGGCCAATGGCAAGCCAACAGGATGGATCAATTCTCAGTGTTCTAGGGCTGTCCATTCTACTTGAGGAAAGCCGCCCATGCTGTAGTGAAATCCATGGAAACAACGAAAGGCATATAGCTCCTGGTCCCTGTCAATGTAGATCACCATCCATCCACAAGAACGCTCAAACGTGGAGATGGCTTCGGTGACAATGATTGCTATGACAAGTGCCCCGCAGGGCGTTAAGCCTTTGAACCAGAAGCCTCCTGAGCAGCCACAGCGGACCAGGCAAGAGCTGGGACATTTGGACAGGGGGAACTGGAAAATCCGTAACCCCAATTCGTGAGCAGAGCAATCTTCAGACATCTTCATGCCAGGGTCGATCTGCGTAACTAAAGGCCGGTGGATTTGTATCAAGCAAAACCACATCATGTAGACTCTTGATTTATAAATACAAAACCCCCCATATGAAGAGGATGTTTCTACGGTGTTTCCGAGACGCTGTTTTGCTTCCATGCTTGAAAGCAACATGTATTTCCACTGGGGGGAACGAAGGATTTTGCAATTTTTGACATTTTTTCGTTATCATTTGATACAATTCATTCATGTAATTATGTTGAGTGTTGATCGATTCACCACCCCCCAGGGGTGTAGGTTCACATAGGTTCACCATGTTAAATGAGGTAAAACCATGTAAAAGCATGCTGGAGATGGGAGAGGTTGACCCATCAATAGCCTGATATGGTCTTCCCCTCAACTCTCCGCCATTGAGATGACGACTCGACCTGATGGAGGAACGTCCTTCCACGTCTCAAATTCCTTGGAGCTGTAGGGTGGGTTTGATCCTGTCGCTGGGGGTTCTAGTCTAGGAGGGAGACTGCTCATGGCCAGTCACGAGACGAGGAGGTGGCTGCCAAAGTGGTGCTGCCAAACCGGCCAGGCCAAGCTTTGCCAGCCGGCCAAGCCGCGGCTCTGTCCAAGGCACTATTGCACAGAAGATGCGATGGAGCAGTATTCAAAGATGTTCAATTCAAGTTACTTTGTCCTTTAACTTGTATGTTTTTGTTTAGCTGGCTGCTTAGTTACCCCAGCTCAGAACACTCCTGGTCAGGGCAAAACGGGGGCGCAGATGAGGTAGGTGTTTGACCTTCCAATTTGGACATCCTCAAGTTCCCACACCTTCGAAGCGCCCAACTCCGCTACTCAAACTTTGGGGCGCTCTGCACTCTCTCACAGCAAAAGGGTGAATGGATACTCTTCAAAGCAGGATCGGCACTTTTCGACAGACGCTCAACGTCCGGGCTATGGCTACACAGGAGCCTTTAGAGCTCCTACTGGGGTTTAGCCTATCACCTCTGTGTAGCTCGAACCGCAAATTGCGGATATTCGGCCTCACAAACAAAGTCAGCCGCAAGGGCTTGTGAATGTTTGAAGGTTAATCCTCCTCCATCCCCTCCTTCCTACCAAGAATACACAGAATCCGATTTATCATTGCTACTGCAACGGTCAAGTCGCGCATATAGATGTGGCGCAGGAAGACCGAAACAGAGCTGAACTTTGACTGCGGTGTTGAAATCTCTAATTAGAGCAGCGTTGTGCAAAAGCTGAGTTTTCCGCAGCGATGCACGAACACTGCAGCAGTCCCACTCCCGATGGTAAGGAACCAGAATACGGGAAGACAAATCATGGCAGGGAAGACGGGGCAGCTGCTTAGAGTTGTTCAAAACTTGGTCTGCATAGATTGTGCCACATCTAGCAGAAAGCAGCTGTTTGATGTAGGCCAGTTCTTTCCTCAAAAGTGGCTTAGTGTTGCACAGGCGCTTGGCTCGCGCAACCAAACCTTTTGGCCAAGCATGGTGAACGTGTAAACTATGCATAGAGTGAGGCGCAAGTGGCTGGTGGAGTCCAGTGGGTTTGTGATGAACTCCTATGTCCAGGAGACCCGTAGACCTCCATCTGGCGCCTTTTGAAATGTCTAAATCAAGAAAATCGCAGCCCTGTCTGCTGACGCTTTCCACTTCTAATTTCCATACAAGACTTCTCTGGCGGAGAAATCCAACAAAATCCCTCAGGAATTGGTTGTCTCCACTGTGCAAGAAGAAAATGTCATCTTTGTACCGAACAAACAGTTCAACAGAGAGGCGCTTCAAAATATCAGGACAATTGACCACTCCTTTTTCAACGGTGGCGAAAAACGTTGCGTCGCACAATTCGCCACTGAAGCCAAGGCCCATGCCGGCTCCTTTCAACACTTTCCAAAGTCGACCTTCAAACTGGTCCACTTCGACATATTGCGAGTCGAGAACATATCGCAAAATTGTTCGGTAAAAAGTTCGCCACTTGGGCTCCACGAGGGAACTACTGTACTCCAAAAAATGGGAGTGAAGGCCATCCATGAAGTAGTCTTTAACATCAATTTTCACGAACTGGCAATTCGATCGAACTCTCAGGTTGTTTAACCGACGTACAAGAGCTTCACTGTTTTTCAGCAAATGCTCTAAAGTTGAAAGAGCAGGGCGGAGAAAAGAGGCAATAAGCCGGAAAGCGCCCGCGAACGGAGTGCAAACCGAACTGTGAATGCCCCGAAACTCGACCTTTCCAGGCCCTTTGTGAGTTTTAATGGTGCACTTCAGTTTTGAAAGAGCCTTGCTAGCCCTCCCAATGACCGGTTGCAAAATGCTTCTCAAAAAGGATGATTTTTCTTCATCCGCCATGAAGCTGGGAAGGTGAAAGACAACTTCGCTTTCAAATCCTCGAACAATGTCCTCGGAAAACGTTGACGTCCGAGGAACTTCCTTGTATCTGGAAGAATTTGTGAGAATACGTAGCAACTCAGGCTTGACAACAGATTTGTGGATGAGAGCAAAACCTCCGTCTTTGTGCGTAATTACGGATGGCTTTAAAAGGCCCGTCATCCAACAATCTAAGTGCCAAACGAACAACTCCATACATGTTAGAGGAAAAACTCCTGTCAGATCGGAGCTTACCACGAACTTTCAGAACTTCTTTGTAGAAGCTTTGCCGGATTTCATGGCAAAAGCTGTCCAGAGACGAAGGGAGTCTTATGTCACAAGGTCTGACAGTACTAGACCGTTGTTTGAAAAATTGCCACGTATCAGGAGCTCGATTCATAAAAGCAAGCCTCCATCTTAAGCGATGCTCCCAGTCATACAAAGATTGTCCCACTGTCCGCAAGGACACACGTTTTTTGTTTAAAGAACGCATTTAGGGGAGTGAAATCCAAGGAGATATTCTATAGGCCAAGGTACATCCTTAGGTATGTACGCAGAGCGAGAAATATGATCAAAGACATAGACTTTTTCCACGTCTTTGCCACACTTCAGTAAAGTTGTGAACTCCTGCAATGGCATTTGTCGGACCAAAGACCAGAACAGTCGAGAAGCTTGGCAGGCAACATTGGTTTTCTTTACTGCCACCTTCCTCGCGCACTGCCAGTCCAAAAGCCTTTGCCATTTCCTTTCTTTCCTTGAGCTTTTCCTTTGGTTGTAGCTTTCCCTTTTCCCTTGGAAGTAGATTTGCCCCCCTTGTGGGGGGCCAATCCGTTTTTTGGCAACACAGGTTCTTGCACGGGAAGCTTTCCTTTGTTCTTTCCTTTGCCCTTGCCTTTTGGATTCCTCCCTTTTCCTTTGCCTTTCCCTTGAGGAAAAACCTGCATCTTGGAAGGAACCTTTCCTTTGCCTTTGCCTTTTCCTTTCCCATGTCTGGTCTCCGGTCTTTTCTCATAGACCAACTGGGAAATAGACTCCTCATCAATCATGCCAGACATGGCTTGGCAAGCTAGTCCTGCAGAGTTCATCTCATACTTCTGCTTGTCTTTTCGAGTTCGCCCAGCAGGTGCCTTCTTGTCTTTTGATTGCGCAATGCGAGAATCAATTGCCTCAATGAGAAACTCCTCAGGTGATTTTCGAATGACCTCCTGCACGACCTCATGTTGTCTCTTTCGTTCAGCAGCTTGTTTTTCTTCCTGTGCGCGCTTCACTTCAACTTCAGCATCAACTACTTTTCGGTAAATTGCCAGAATCTTTGCTTTTTGCCTGATCAGAACTCAATCCACGAAGTTCCAAGTTAGCAGCAGTGTCAGCGTCAGAATCATCCAAGTCCAAATAAGCCGATGCCTTACGATGCGCTTGTGCAAAAGCTGGAAAATTGGCCAAACATCTGTCCAAAAAAGCCTCTTTTCGGATGTGGGTCTTCAACTGTTGTCTGTGTTTGTCCAAAAGTTGGAGGTCCAGTTCCAATTGCACTTTCAAATGTTCCATGTGAAACTTGCGCTTTGTGTCACGAATCGACATGCTCGTGTCCACGGTCACAGAAATGCCATCCTGGGAAACCATGTCATCCAGCAAATGTGTCTCAAATGTGTGAGAAAAAGGTCGAAATCCTTTTGGCAAAATGCCATCCTGGATCTCAGCAATGTTCCCTTTGACTTTTTCTCTTCGCACATTTGTCTTCTGTAGTCCGCGAATCTTGTTGGACAAATCCAGAGATTGCTTTCGATTATCTTTTAGAACTGCTGGAGCTAAATATCGTCCGAACTCTGCATCTATGAGATCATCAATGGAAGACAGCCCTGGAGTGTTCACATGTGGTCGAGGACTTCTACTTCTTCGATGTTGATCTGAAGCCTGCGGTGCTTGTTGGATGCTTAACAGCTGTCGACGTGGTCGATTTGCTGGGAGTGGGCTGTCGCCTTCTCCTTCATCCTGATCCATGCCGGAGAGTGCCATTAAGAACGATGAGAGTCAAAGACAGCAAAAGGGTGAATGGATACTCTTCAAAGCAGGATCGGCACTTTTCGACAGACGCTCAACGTCCGGGCTATGGCTACACAGGAGCCTTTAGAGCTCCTACTGGGGTTTAGCCTATCACCTCTGTGTAGCTCGAACCGCAAATTGCGGATATTCGGCCTCACAAACAAAGTCAGCCGCAAGGGCTTGTGAATGTTTGAAGGTTTGAAGGTTGAAGGTTTGAAGGTTTGAAGGTTTGAAGGTTTTGTGTAGGTGGAGGTAGGTGTTTGACCTTCCAATTTGGACATCCTCAAGTTCCCACACCTTCGAAGCGCCCAACTCCGCTACTCAAACTTTGGGCCCAGCTCTACACTCTCTCTGCACCGTCTCCGCTTAGCGGACGCACCGACGCGCACCGACTCGTGCCGCGCCCGCCCGACGCACGCCAGGCTTAAGTCCGGTGGCGCTGGGTGGGCGGCTTTCGCTCCAGGGCACGGACCGTTGGGGGCGGAGGGGTGGACTGGTCGGACTGGTCGGAGGGGTCGGAGGGTTCAGAAGAGAAACGCCAAGCATTTCGGACTGGGGGCCGGTGGGTTTGAACCTTTTTGGTTGTAGGAGTAAGACTCCATCATACTCCAGGTCCACCTGTTCACATTTTGCAGGAGGAACATGGAGGAACGTCATCTTGATCTTCCAGTTTTTGTTGCAGAGAGTGTAAAATTTCCAAGGTAAAGGGGTACTGATTTGTGAGATCCATTTTCAGGGTCTGACTATCAGTGTCGCCCCCCAGGCAATGTAGATATGCTAGTGAAGCCAAACACCAACAACCGGCTTCATCTTTCTGACATGTTGGCAACAGCAACACTAGGGCCCTAGGGTGGACCAGAAAACGACACAGGCCCCCTTTCTCGCAAGCATTTTCAGGAGGGAACATGGACAAGGCAAGCCATTCCAAGCGAGGCTTGGATGGTTTGAGCCTCACTGGATGTTTTGCTTACTCCCCCAACTCACGAAGTTCACCCTGATTTCATGGTTCCAGGACCGACCCTTCTCGTAGGTGACGCCACCTGGCACAGCGATCTAATTCAATTTCAGGGGACCAACGTTGGAACGATTGGACCGGTCTGGATCTGGTCATTTCTTGCAGAATTGAGGTGTCAAGGCGTGTCAAGGTCACATATTAATTACATTGCAAAGATTCAAGCTCTTGGCCTTTGAGCCACAGAAGACATCCCACGAACCATGATTCTTGGACACTCCTGCTCTCGGTTGCGCACGCTTGGCATCCAGATCAAAGAACTATACCATTTTTGTTTTTGTTGCGACCACACCCACTCATTCAGACACAAGCAACAGAACACTTTCCAGGTCAATGACCTCTCTTAGGTCTTAGGCTTTCTTTTGTACACTGTACACCCTGATTGCAATTGCTTGTGATGGGCACAGAGAGGACCTGGCGATGATGGCCGCTGTGCGCAGTCGGGGGCCTAGATGATGTTCAGCCGACGAACTGGGGCGATCCCCCCAGTGGCGCTGGCTCTGGACCGTGGGCGTGTTCCAGGCCTGGATTCCATTGGTGGAGCATTTGTGTGGAGCTGTGTCAGAGCATTTTGGTGGAGCCCAACAGAGTCATTCCATACTTGTGCAGCGTGCATACAGAAGTACCAATAGATACCACTAGCCAGTGTGCAGACTCAACTGCACTTCCCCTTCTCTCCAAACACTTCCCGCGCCGCGAAAAACCTGGCACCCCCGGACCGCCGGACACCACGAACCGCGGAGCACTCGCGACGCGCGCGGAGTCGGTCTTCACGCGGGGCGGTGCCGGCGGTGCCGGCGGTGCCGTGAGGTGACCCTGAGAGTCCTCCAGAAGTACGGCAGCCGCGTGGGGGTGCCGAGTCCAGAGTCGCATGAGGCAGTGGGCTGTCGACTGCCAACTCGGCATGAAGGCACTATTCAAGGAGTCGAAGTACAGATGACTGTTGCATCATGTTTTCATATTTTTCCCCAATAGTGACAGATGTTTGACCACTTACTTACAGTAGGTAGGGGGGGTTTGACAGCCAAACAGCCAAACAGCGAACGCTGACCGGAGACTGCCGTTCGACCTGCGAAAGGAGCATCTCGGAGTCAAGCGAGAGCCACACCGGAATTTGTGGCGTCTCGGCCCCATACAACTATACAACTCACTAACTCCTGTTAATGCTTTTGGTTTGACCAGCCAGGGCTGGATTGGAAGCCATAGTGCTTTTTGGAGAGGGGCATTCTTGGTGCTCAAAATCACTGCCCACTACATCCCACTAGTCACTAGCACCTGTTCTAGACATCCGGCTGAAGCAACCTATCCAGGGTCAAGTTCAGTTTCCCATCCTCGCCGTTGGCTGTTGGTTGCGCTCTACGCGCTTTAATCGGGGTCAAGGCAGACAGTGTTTAGCTGTTCGGGAACATTCGTACTAGGGTGAAGGTTGAGGTTGTAGCCTCATCCTGAAATCTCCCTTCAACCGTGGAAAAGTTCTCCCTTCACTGCACAGACTTGCCATGTGCATAAGAGTAAACCGTTTGGTCCTGAAAGTTTTTATATAGAAACGGTATTTTAGATCCCCTGCCTGGCAAACCCACTCTCCTACTTGCACATGGCGAGGCTACTGCCTTAGTTACTGTGACGCAGCACCTGGCCCATTTCAAGTGATGGCTGCCGCACACTCGTCCGCCCCCGAGTCCCACTATAAGATGCGATCTGCAGAAGACATCCATTTTCTTGCTCCAGGACGGCAAACCTGCAAGACCAGCACTCTTCTGGGTGGATGGCAACCAGCCTGCCTTGATGAGGCCGAAGCTGTGAAGTTGCTGGTTGGGACTGTGTTGAGGTTTGTGTACCGGTCAATCCATGAAAGTATCTTTTGATGGTGCATTGGAAGCTGCGCGGATCTACGTTGACTTGTTGAATCTACACAGACAGAGGTTGCTTGTCAGGCTTGTTGGTGAACTGCACCTAGTGTTCACACCATGTCACACCATTTCATGTTGCACCAATCACATGCTCTGTGCTCTTCGGCTTTGCCTTTAACACCACCGGTGTCAACCGGATTCGGATCGATCTGGCCAGGTCTTCTCTGGGGTGAAAGGTGTGGAATCAGCAGGTCGGGAGCCCTGCACATGACTAGTCCATGACTAGTCGCATCGGGTGAAACCCTTCAAATCCTCATCTCCCACAAAAATAGAGCTCTGTGCTTTGCAGGTGATGGAACCGCCAGCTTTCTTTTTCTGGTGGACCGTCCTTCGAAGGGACGACCGGTGAGTCGATGGGACCGAGGTCGAGGATCGGACTGGACAGAGCTCATCGGTCATCGTGTGGTCGCACAACATGGGGGTGAAGAACGGTAGGGGTTAAGCACCGGGATAATGCATCTCCAAGTGTGTTTTTATTCATGTTCCATTTTCTACCACAATTTCCCTGGATATACGTACTGCTGAAAAATGGGGAAGGCACAGAAACACACTGTGCACAAAGCCTCAGACATTTGAAAGCAGGGGGAGGATGAGCAGAGGACTGCCGACTGCTGCAGGAGATGTGCCATCATAGTGTAGGCATGTTGAGGGTGAACTGGACATGGACGACATGGACGGAGGGATGGCTCCTAAGACCGGCACCACTTTCTCGGCCTATAAGACTGGCTCCTAAGAACGATCATAATATCCTTTATGGTGAACAATGAAAGGGAGTTGGAGGATCTTTTCCACCATCACGACCAAAAAGGACATCATTTTGGTGCAAACGGCGGACCATTTCAGTCCAGCCCAAGACCGTTTATTTGGACGGGAGAGTGACAGGGCAATGAAATCTCAAGTTCCATCTCTACGTGGTGGTTTCAGATTTTTTTTTGCGCTCCCTGTAGAAGAACGTGGTCATCCAAGGGGCCATTTTCCACTTACATGATGATTTCGGCGAGTGTAGGTTCAACTTGATGGATTCCGCTGACGGGTAGAGTTGAAACCAACCATTCTGGAGCGTCCAGTGCTTGGAGTACTGTTGCGGTTTGCTTCATGCACCAAGGCCTCTTGGCCAACGCAGAGAGGCTGGTTCTTCTGGGCTCCACTTCTCTCCCAGAAATGGCTGTACAACTCCAGAGTTATGGAGGTGCACCTCAGCAGTCCAAACAATCGATGCACCTCCACTGTTATGATCACTCAGCACAATTGACGGTGGTGATCAGTTATGGAGGTGTATCAATTTATGGGCTTTGATCGCCGCTACTTGTCGCGCCTCTGTCGCAGCTGGTGCTCCAGAAAGACCAAAGACCACCTGGTGTGGCATGGCCAGCTCAGTCCCTTGAAAGATAGCTTTTATGGTAGTTTTATTGGGAATTTTGAGAATCTCCTTCACTGTATTTGTTCATTATTGGACTTTTTGGATGCTTCTTTTATTTGAGTTCTGCTGGACCATCCCTTGGTGCAGAGAGGACAGAACCACTTTTATTCCACCAAGGATGACCTCTCATCAACGACGCTGAACCGAAAACGAGATCAACAACAGCTTTTCCAGCATAGACACGTTTGAGAACAACAGCCTTTTCGGCGGAAAACATCACCACGAATCATTCCAATGGGCCTTTTCCAGCTCCATGTCCAGCTTCGTTCCAACGTTCTTCCTGTTTCGGCCCAATGTCTTTGACGCGCATGGATGTCAGTGCCAGCCCAATGGACCGGCAGAGGGGCCATGGGATGGTGGCAGGTTTTCAGGAAAACAACTGGTGGACCAGGGCTGGTCATGATCCCATGGCAACATTACTTTAAAACAGAGACCATGGGAGACCCAGCAAGTCGGAGACCCATCGCGAGGAAGACTCGTCCCATGAATTGGCGGGAGGGGGTGGCGAATTGAAGTTCCTGACGCATCCGAGGATGGGTCTGGAGACAGTGCCCACCTAGTAGGTTGGCTTGAAGCGCTATGTTGATTGAACCTTCGGAGTCCTGGAGGAAGAAAAGAGAAGAGATACACTCCAAATTCCGATGAGGTGTGGTGGTCTTGGTGACATTTTTGGTGTATTAGACTTCTGCTTGCAGGCCTAGAGTGGAGGTCTGCAGGCCTCAGAATCCGTTTGTTGTCGTGGAGCTTTGAGGATGGTTTGGTGGATTTCACAGTTGGTGCCTTGATTTCAGGTCTTTTGGGTCTCATGGCGACACCCAACTCGCACAGCCACGCCATGCTGCCAGGGTGGTGAACAAGGCCTTGGGCTTCATCTCTCGCGGGCCTTGGGAAACCCGCAAAAACACGGCCCCAATTGGGGTTGGTGTCCCAAAAGGGGATCGATGTGGGGATCCAGTGATCTCCAACCTACCAGCGATGGTCTCCAACCTAAGAGAGATGGCCTCCAACCTAGGGAGGTTTGGTAGTTTTGGCTGGCAAGAAGACCTTTCAGGGTATCACCTCAAGTATGTACGCCCTATGTAAGTATACTATACTGTAATATACTGTAATGATTTGGTCCAATGATTTTTTAAGAGACAAATTATAGAACACACGTTGCCGGCCCCAGGTTGCTCCATCCACTTGAGCTAGCTATATGGCTGCGGTTCATGGCACCAGGATACCGAGCGCTTGACGACGTAACGGTCATTCGCACGCTACATGGTGGACGACCAGTCGCTCAGCTCCAGGTGGGTCACAACCCATAGTAGCTTCTTGTTCCTAGTAGTAAGGCCAGGAGCCCCTAGTAGCATCCTTGCTCCTAGCAGCGATGCCAGGAGCCCCGTTCGTAGCGTCCCCTGTTAGTAAACTCTGATCAAACCTGGTGCCACCAGGTGGTGCCACCAGGTTGCCCCGCTTTACTCCGGCGCTTTCCCTTCCGGAGGCGCCGAACCGCGAGCTCATGGCTCGAGCGCGGGGGTGGGGGAACCCGCCAGGTGACGGGGGAGGGTCGACTGAAGGATGGGATGGGCATGGAGATTTGGAGGCTTCTTCTGTATCTTCTTCGTCTTGATCTAGATTCTAGATATGTCTAGATTCTACAGATTCTAGATGTCTTGCCTATTCTAGATGTTGCTTGGTTGGATGCAGTTTCTGTATCCTTTGCTTCTGACAGAGTGAGCATTTCCAAGAGATCAAAAGCTGTACCAAATCTATGTGTGCTTGCACCGGCTACAAGACACCTTGACAATGTCTGCTTCATCTCCAATCTACTTTGGATAGCCACCGTTTTCCCGTCAGGATCACTACTTTCTCCCATTTGTTTTCATCACCTGCCTGTCCACCCCAGACCGGCCTCAGCCCCCGAAATGCGCACCCCGCTAGCCACCGCTTTGCGGCCCGGCACGGCGGTTGGGCCAACCTCTTTCTGCCCATGACAACGCTGGCCACAACAAAGCACTTCTAACCCCCAAAATGAGCGCTTCTTTCTGAAGGCCCTCGGTTTGATTTGCGCCAGATCCCAAGAAGCGGTTCACTCGGTTCAGCCGAGGTTGGTGAAGCGCATTGCCTTAGACCCCAAGATCATCACCAACGAATCCAACGGCTCCGGCGCCTAGTCTGGAGTCCCTTTCTACAGCAGCTTCGTGGCGGTCCGTGGTGGCCCGCGGTCTGTCGAAGATGGAGGGATCCGAGGACCATGTGGAAAAAGGATCCAGAGATCATGGAGAGATAGAAAGAGGGAATGATCTCCATATAAAGAGGGAATGATCTCCAGGTTTTTTGTTGATGATTTGTCATTATTGGGGTGATTTTCAGAGGTTAGGTTGCTTGGCCTGATGGGTGTCTACGCCACAAAAACTGGCTATAGTACTCGTTTTCCTACAGAGGATTTGAGAAGGGATGTTTGGCCAATCGGGCTCGGAGGCCTGAGGAAATGGCTCGTCACTAGAGGGATGCCATGCCTTCATTCAGCTTGGTAACGTGTGGAAATACCCACATGAATCATTGAGCCCGGTTTTTTGTGTCTGCAATTCCTTTCTTTTTTGGTGCTTTGAGTCGGGTCGACCGAGTCTTTTTCGATCTTCGGGTCTGCATGTGGGATTCCACTGTGGGATTACGCACCCTGTTTGATTTTTAGACACAAAGATAAGCTAGACAGACACTAGTAATCACTAGTAGAAGACACCTGGTACAGCAAAAGGTCAGTTTGCAACCCCCCCGGCCCGCGGAGCGATTCCATGTGTTGTTTTGCCAGAGTATCACTTCTCTGTTCTTTGAATGTCGTTCCTGGATGAACCTCCATCCGTCGGCAAGACGAACATAGACTCATTGCGCTTTCTTCGCGAATTCGTGCGCCGCCCAAAACGCGTGATCGAATGGACGGGACGTGGAACATGCCTTAGTTGAGATTCTCTATTTCACGCGACTGAACGGAGGACAGCACTGAGGTGACCTGAAGCCCGCCATTGGGCCATGACCCTCCTGCTTTGCGGGGCTTCTTTAGCTCTGTAAATCATCGGTAGACACTACGGGTTAACTGTGGCTGCGGCTGGGATTGGATCTTAGGGGTTCATGGCTGCTTAACCTTGGCGCCGTCCTATGAGTTTTTCTGCGAGTTTTATCCACGAGTCACGAGCCCAAAGTGAGAACGGGTTGTTGGCTTGCTTGTTGGGCTGAATGGTTCGGAGCAAGCACACTTTCCTTAAGCTCTACATGGAACAGGTAGTCCTACTTTACCACATGGCGGTCTTCGACTGGCAATTACACTTGGCAGTTGGGCCTGTTGCACACTACGCGCACCAGGAAGTCCTTACTAACCAAATGGAGCCAACCGCTCTGCAGGATTTGGCTGTACATAAAACCCCCACACCACTGCAAAATCACAGTTCCCAGACCATCCATGTATGCAACACTAGGGTCATAGATGTGCTAAATGTATGTAGCTATTCCATACATGGATGGTCTGGGGTTGGTGGCTATGGATCGGGCGCCTGGGTATTGACGGTGCGGACCATATTTCCATGCTAGGTGGACTCAGACGGCTCAGACCTTGGTCGACGACTCACCAGTCTCTGCTTGAACGCTTTACCAGCCTTCAGGACCTGGATTAAGATCTATTTTTTCAATCATTAATCCAATAGATCTGCTTGAAGATCTGCTTCGATCTGCTTCTGGGTGGCGCGACCAAAAGATCAATCTCCGTTCTATCGGCGTTGGGTCGGTCGGCAGTTCCTCAGGTGCTGCAGGTGTCTCTCCCCAGCTGTATGCTCTAACGACCTCGCCCATCCATTCTCTTGCTGGGAATCGCCAGGCTCCCCACAGTCGGATTTCGGAGAAAAAACGGCCACCTCCAAAGAAGTGACCGACCTGGAAGTGATGAGAATGGGAAGATTATAGTGGTTTCAGAGTAGATGGCACACACCCAAAAATGTCTTTTATATGGGGGGTCCATTTAAACCACCTGTTGGGGATTGTGCCATCTACTCTGAAACCACTGTAGCTATAGCAGATCCCTCTTCTTGCTGTCTTCCTGTCTTCTTGCCACTGGGGGAGAAGACTTTCCACCCAGCCTGGTGTCCTGGCCTTGTACCAGGGTTCTCCTCTCTTGTTTTGGACCTCCCCACCACTGTCGGGAACTTGGGAACACATTCCCTGGTGGAAACACGGGGCGTGACGCGCCAGCTTTCAGACCAACCAACAGAACTCGACAACAGGGTATGCATTGAAATCGAGTGCCCTCTCCGAAGACTCCGCGAAGAGGATCAAACGCACCCGTTCTTGTCAAGGAGCTTTTCACTGCCTTGAAACTAAATAAACATAGTAAACTGTATTGAATCCTTCTCTCAGACACGCAAGAACTTTTCATTGTTTTGGCTGGGATCGTTTCAAAAACATTCCAAAACCAGTGCTTCCGCTTGGATATCTTCGGATACAAGTTAAAATATGTTAAACGCATTTGTTAAAACATGTCGGATTTTCGACAATGTTGGGATATCGTGTATATATATATATACATACAATAGTATATAACAAATATTCAGCATTAACACATAGTTAATGCTGAAGCGCTCAACCCGGACATCGTTCAAATTTGCGGATTCCACGATGTGGGCCACGCACCGGAGAGGCCAGGAGACCGTCCACCGTTCGGCTTCGCTGCACAATTAGATGGGCAGGGGATGGTGATGTGGGAGATGTGAGTTCCATCCAGTTCCCGCCAGTCTGGAAGGAAAGGCATGAAACTAATTGCTAAACTACATGTAGCATACAGTATACTGTAATATGATCTTTGTCGGAAAAAAAAACATGTCTCAACAGACATGATATGCTATGCCAGGAAATAAAGTAACTTAGTAAAATAGACCATATAGCCATATAGACCACAACTCCATTGGTTGGGGGCTCCTCCAGAATGCCAGTCTCTCAAGAGTTGCGCTCCGGCCTTCTAAGTTTGGGAACATAGAACAGTCACCCAAACAAGATGAGCATCATTCTAAGTACAAGGATGTTCTGCTATTCGTAAGAGGATCTATGAACACCTATGTAGATCAATGATATTAGAGGGGAAACCAGTGAGTAGTAGCCTTTCCAATGAGCTGCAACCTTTGATGAATGAGACAGAATGCTATCCCCGGCCAATGAGATCTCGCCCTGTGGCCTAAACTCACTGCGAAGCAGTGCGGAGTGAGGGCTATGGGTGGCGGGCAATCCATCATGAGGGCGGAACCGGACAACCTCAGGAAAAGGCTTGGAACACACATTCATGGACCCCGCTGAACAGGTAAAACAATCAAACAGCAGAAGGAGTTTCTACATGGTGTGCGATTCATGTATTACAGTTTCCCACAAACATGGCTGCCTATGTCTAGTGATTCATTCATTCCATGGAAGCCACTGGTGACAACCAAGAGCCTCCTTGGTGGCCGTTCGTGTTTTCTGGTTCGACCGACAAAAGGAGTTTTCCACAAACACACCCCACGGATTGAGGACGAACATTGCCAAACAACATGGTAAAAAATGTGAACCCCCCTGGTATAGAAAGGACAAATATGCTCTTGTCAAGCTGCTTTTTGTGTCTCTTTACCGACGTCTCGACAGGTTTCTGGAGTGAACTCCGGACTTCGAGGTCGTGGCTGGTCTTTTGGGGAGACGGATGAGGTTTGCTCAAGTGAGGAGCTTCTGCACAGAAGTCTTCACTTTATAAATGCGTGAAGCCCGTCACTTGTCTTATAGTCCCACATATATATATATATGTATACACATGTATATATATATATATACAAATTTGTCTTCACATGTAAACATGAATCTCTAAAGGCAGATCAACCGCTGCCGTTTTCCAGTTCAGAGGCTATTTTACATGTAAACAAATTAATCTTATACTCCTCAAGCCTTCTGGTCAGACTTCAGTCCTCACAGCACCCGCGCTCTAGATCTCGCACGCAAGCTGAAGATATCGCACGCCTGAGCGCATGTACAGTGGAAGGGCTTCGGCAAGAGAGAAAGGGTGCTGCAGATGGCAGTGTGGCAGACATTTCTTCTGTTGACTTGCAAACCCATGAAGCCGTATATGATGTATTGCTGTATACCCCACGCACCCAAACCCTATAAATTTGTAGGGTCTCAATCGGAACCTCGGGTATTTGTGTGAAATCAACAATACCTCAGGTTTGTCCTTCTCGGGTCTGTTTCTTCTATCAGTGCTAAACCCATATTTATGTAACCCGTACTAAACCCATATTTAACCCGTATTATGGTACTGGTTTGGAAAACCTAGGGTTTCCCCACGCTTTTGTGAAAGCGGATTATTTTTGGGAAGACTCTTTTGTGAGTCTCTTGAACATTTCCCAGCAGCCAGCAGACGATTCTTTAAATCCTTTTCATCTTCTGGGTGCTAAAAAAGGTCTGACCCTTCAAATCTGGGGAACCACCCGGAGATAGACAGAGGCTTGCGCTTGATGTCACCGGGCCCTGACGCGAGCCTCAGGACCGAGGACTGGAAGGTTTTCGTGCTTTTGGAGGCTCAGCTCCCCTTCGGAGGTCATGCAAAGCCGGTTAGGTCTCGATGGTTCATCCCGATGTTGGCCATGTCTGGAGGACAAGGTTGGTTCGCTCCAAAAAGACCAGGTTGGTTCGCTTGGCTTTTTTGGTTGGCTCAAGTTGGATACATGAGGTGAGACGAAACATTCTTCGCAGAGCCAATTCTTTTGAACCCACCGACTTGATCATGATCTCCACGGGCGAAACTCCAGCAGCAGCCCTCACTGTGAACCATGACATCCATGAACTTGAGCCCAGGCCGCTCCTCCACACCGAGGTTTCCTCCAAAGAAATGTCAGCATCTTCAGCTCAGCAACAAAAGCCTCATACCATTCCAAGACACGGCCTAAACCGCTGGATCTTCTCGACTGCCCGAGGGTTGCTTCGACATGAGAGCTGGCAAGTGCCTCGCCCGCCATCGGTGGCATGCCGGAGGGTGGAGTACATGGGGCTTGAGGAAATCGGTAGCTCTGTTCGAAGAGTTTCAGCGGTCCGAACGTTGCCTTTCGAAGGGTCCGCGCATATTTGCCATGGTTCGGGGGGTCAACATAGCTTGTGGTCGAGTAACTGTCATGGTAGGACGCTTTGAAGAATGCTTCAAGAAGAGTATCTATTTTCCATTGGCAGCTCCCATTCTATACTTCTTGAACAGGCTCCCATGCAC